AATGTGTGTGTATATACATTCACATCACCTCTGAACGTGGCTGACTTGGGAACCTTTGGCAGCCTTGCAAAATACTGTGAAAAAACCCGGTGGTATTTTTGGGTTTATGACTGCCACTGACAGATGCAGTCCCACAATAGTTAAGTAGTTTAAAATGTTTAATTCTTGCAGCCCCAGGAGACTTAAACAGTTAAATACTCTTTGTCATGTAACAAGCACAAGTTACACTTATAAGCATCATTTGTACTAACATCTGGGGGCATGAAGTAGCTTTTTAAAATATAAACTTCCTGAAAAGGCATATTTGTAATTTGGAGAAGCTGATGTCTTGCAACAGAGGGTTTCCCCACTCCTCTGCCTGACTGGGAAGGTGCTCTACATGAATTCGCCATTAAAAACCTATCAGAACTAGTGTTTTGTAATGTTACTTGGTTAGGATTTGTTTTCATCCATACGGTTTAATTAAGTGGGGAAAAAAAATGTTGCACTGTATGTCTATCCCACTGGGTATCTGCTCTGTTTGCTGTCTCGGTAGGTCTTCTATACAGCTTTGTAAAAGTGAAAGCAAAGAGATAATATTTTCAGAAAGTTAGTTGATGGAATTAAAATCAATTTCAGGTGTTCAGATACAAGAGAAATATGGGGCAAAAGTAGGACTGCCCCAAGAAAGCAGTATATAAGGTCATGTCAGTGGTCAGAATTGTCTTTCCGTTCCAAGCAGGGTCTCCACTTCTCTGTGTAGCTGCTTTTGGTGTGAAGCTTGGTTGGACTTCTGTGGTTGGTGTGTGTTAATCAAAGAGGATATGAGCCATTTTAACTTGTAATTTTGCTGACTTGGTTGCCAGATCAAATGAAAATACTAAGGTTTGAATAGTGCAAGCATAGCTATGCGTTTTCTTGCAGAAAGTTTATGTAATGACATTTGTTAGCAGCTGGCGTACCAGACGGACGTCTGTCACTGAGAAATTAAGTTGTTTCACACAGCACTAAATTACACTTTGGAGCTGGCTTGGACTGCTAGAAAATTATTTTTAAAATTAGATTGGGAGCTCCTTTTATTATATGAGCTGAAATACTGCTGTCATCGTTTGTGTACAACACTTTTTCCTACAAATCTTCATCTGCACTTCTGCATGTATGTCTCTGTATATTTCTTTCTGTATCCTATTGGCTTTGAGTTACTTTCATGATGAGCAGAACTAGCAGTGTCCTGTATTTCTTAATTCTCTAGTCATTGGTATTAATTCAAACCCCACTATGCAGTCTGGGAGCAAGATGTTCATCTTAGGTAATAACTGTATACAATAATGTTTATGCATGGTACATTTATGCTCCCTGCAATGAGACATACATAGAAGATAATTAGTGTTTAGTCCAAATCAAAGATGTAGTACTGACATCTGTCAAAGCACGTATGCCTGGGTTGTTTCTTTTAATATGCACTCTCTGTATTTTTTTTTCCTTTCTAGTATTAGGAGCCTATGTTAATGTTAATTCCATCCTGTGTAAATTATCATTTAAGCAATTTAAATTTTGTAGCAAGAAGATAAGGCTGTTGTTTTCCTGCCTTAGTTCAAGGATAGCCCTGAAAAAAATGGGAAATTAAGATCATTCTGGCCCTTAATAAAGATCAGGATCTATGGAAATCAAGTCACTGAATTATTATTTCTAAGCAGGAAAAATGGTATTTTCTGACTAGGACTTTGAGATGACTCAAATTGTTTTCTCTAACAAGGTTGTACTACAACTTATTTGATAGTGGAAATATAATAATATTTCCTTTATTTAAAGCTTTGTATATACATGCTGAGATGATTTTTGTGTTCCCTGTCTTTAAAGATCACAAAACTTTCTGTTCTGATGTAACAGCCACTTATTATTTTCATTGCTAATTGTTAGTTCCTGCTGTCTAGAGCATGTTTGGAGAAAGAAATGTACTGTTAAGATGCTGCAGTACCCATGAGCAATTTTACAATGTGATCTGCAATGAAAACACATTAACAGGGAGGTCAGAAGCTGGGTTTCCTGAAAAAAAATCATAATGGAGATAGTGACATGGTTTAGTCAAAACAAGATGCTACTTAGTGATTCATCCACCAATAAGTACAATATAATGATGTATTTATAGTGAGCAGAATGTTCTAACAATAAAACTAATGTGAATCATTTGCTAATTTCAGGGCTTGTAATGCAGTTTTTACGGCATTAGACCATTGTCAGGAAGCTATAGAAATAACCAGTGAAGATCATGTCATTCAGGTAGGGGGGGAAAAAGTTAACTACTTTGTAGAAGTTGGAGAGAGGAACCCCAAAGAGATCTTTGTCAGTATTTTCTGTTCTGTTTCAGTATTTTAGTTTTGTTGCCCATTAGAAAGCCCTGTGCAATGAACTGCCTTATTTCTGGATGCTGCACATTGACACCTGCTGAATTTTTAAGACTTTTCCTTCAGTAACTTTGTTTAGATTATAATTTTCAGTAAAGTAACGTTGCTTATGTTAAAACCAGCATGAAATCTGTAGCAGAAATAGATAACCTGTATGGTAAAGAGTTTTGTTCTCTTTCTGTGCCTTCTGATAACAGCTTACATATCATATCCTGTGTTGAACTCCTTACTTGAATAAAATATTTCACCATTACATAGTATTTTTGTATGAAAAACACTGAATTGTAGGGATATGTGGTTATGACTTTAGATGTATAACTTGTAACACTTTGATAGTTATATGTGAGTAATTATCTTTTTCATATTACCCTAAAGTACTTTTGTTTTGGCAGTATGTTAATCCAGCCTTTGAACGGATGATGGGGTATCATAAGGGAGAGCTTATTGGCAAGGAACTTGCTGAACTACCAAAAAGCGATAAAAACTGTGCGGATCTCTTAGACACTATCAACACATTTATTAAAAAAGGAAAGGTAAGCAAATAAAATAAACTCATGCAAAATCGCTTTAGATTTCTATTCTGCTTTATTTTTAATGCTGTACGTTTAAGAACACAAGATGTAGTTTTCATAAATGCACATGCGAGACCAGAATACTGCTCCTCAGATGTCTTAAGAGCACAACAGCCCATGCCTCAGACAAGAGACTACAGATTTCTTTAGCTTTGCTTTTAGGATCTGACTGAACTCCTCTACTGATCTGTTGGCTTAAGACCCATATAAGAATGTTTTCTGTGTTTCTGTTTTGCTTAGAATCCATGGAGCTTTTGTTAGTTGGAACATAACAATTTGTCCCTCAGTCAGTCTCTCGGGTGCCTGCGTCATCCAACCAAAAGGTTTAACTGTTCTGTCATAACTGCAGAGCCTTCATTGACTGCGTGCTTTAAGCACCATGTGGCATAATCAGTTGTGACGAAAATACATCACCACCCAGTGGGGTTTGTTTGTCTAACTAGAGTTAGAATGTCTGAAGTGCACTGTAGACTCCTTTTGTGGTGGTGATGGGCCAAAAACCCCATACATATTCCTGGCCATATGTTCCCCTAATACATGCAACACTCTATTATCCCATCTCCCATGGGCTGAAAAAGTACCTCTCACCCTTGCCTGTCTCACTCTCTGAAAAGAATCATGGAGTGAGAATAGGCTGTTGGTTACCTGAGGTTAGGTGGAGAACTGCCTTAGGTCAAGGGCTTCTGAAATTTAGCATACACATTGCTTGACACCTGACAACTTCAAAGCTGAAAGGTGCTCAGCAGAGAGTTTGGTTCTGCTGCTCCCAAGGGAGATATTTGCTGGATATGTTTCAGACAGCACTGCTTTTGGTGGTACCTGGCAAGCATGTTTGTAACCCCTCAAAGCAAATGATTCCTAAAGTTCTTTGCAAAAATTGTGTACTGTCTCACAAGAGAAATGTATTTATACCACCCCTACATTAGCAAATGCCTGTATTAATAAATTTTACACTGTTTTTAAAAAATACAACCATGAAATAATATGTAATTATTTACTATGTAAGGACTACGTAATAACAAATGAATATTTGACTGCAAGCCACGTATTCTTCGATGCCGTCTCTGTTGTGTTTGCTTAGGAATGGCAAGGAGTTTACTATGCAAGAAGAAAGTCAGGAGACAGTATCCAGCAGCATATGAAGATAACACCTGTGATCAGTCCAGGAGGGTAACTAACTTGTCCAGAAAAATTGCTTTCTGGTTTTTAGGGCCTTCTCTCTGCTTTCCCTATCTGTAAGTTTGACATGAACCTCCATGTGTTTAGTAGCGGGGTGATGATACAACTGCTGACTTCAAGGAATGTGGAAAGAATAAGCAAAGTTGAAAAGGTCGTGTTCTTTGCAGATGTTTGTCCATTTTGGTGTTGTCATATGCTGGCTAAAAGAACTGTAAAGTCATAACAATTAATAGTGTTACTGCTGTAGCTACCTGCAAGTTGATGTTTAGATTCATGTTAACATGCATTTATTTATGAAGTTATTCTACAGTATCCATACTGTTACCTGGTCAGCTGGACTGATCAGCAGCTGGGCCATCCCCTTGTTTGTGTCTGTGCTGTATGTGTTTGCACCTTTGCAGTGTAGTATGGGCACGTTGCCAAATTCTTCTCCCTGATGTGCAGGTGAATTCCTGCAGGAGCAAAAAGATCAGGTGTCCTAGGATTAAAAAAGCTGTAATGCTGAAGGAGTGCTTTCTGCCCAGTTGTCTGTTTGGTGTTGGGTTTGGTATCTTGTTCCACGAGGGCGTGGAGACCTTTGCTTTAGAAAATGGCAGTGTATCATTTCACTTCTCTCTTTTCCATTTGATATGGTAACAAGTGATTATTTCTGTTGTTAGGAAAATAAGACACTTTGTGTCCTTCAGAAGGCTGCATTGTACCAATGAAAACAACAAACAGGTATTGTAGTTCTTTAATGTCATAATTTTCATTGCTTTCAGTAAACTGATACAGTTTACTGTATATTTTTCCAAGAGGATGTGGTCTGTACTGTCAACGAGATTCTCAGTGACTGTTGGAGCAAGCAAGAAAACTTTGTTATTTGCATGGGCTATTCTCCTTTTGTAGGACTGCTGAGTAGAGAAAAAACAGCTTTAATGCTCTATAGCATGGATGTGACAGCCGAGTCCATGGTACTGCTGAGCAACATAGACCATAGTCCAAAGGGAGTTCTAGAGCTTTTTGTGGAGCTGCTCTTGCCAGTCTGATCTGGTGTACTGATGTCCAATAATGGCCTATGCTCACCTGTCACAAGGTTTGCCAATGTGTGGTTGGCAAACTTGAATGAAGTGTAGCCTTCGTGCAGGACCCGAGACATGGCATCCTCCTCAGAATCTATGTTGTGGAGGGGTATAATCCAAGCCATAACCCCAGTAAACCAGCAGCAGCAGCTGGTCCTGGTCTATGCAGTCCAGGCACATACCCACCCAAGCAGGTGGATAAAGCTGGTGGCATGGGGAGCTGTTTGCTGTCATCTGCTCCTGGTTCTCTCCCTCTGAAATGGTCTGAAGCAAATGATTGTATCACATGCTTTGCCTCAAAAATACTCTAGTACATGGCCTGTAAAGAAGTTTGGGCTTTTGTGAGCAAGGGAGTGAAATCTATCTTTAGCCTGTGATCTGTAGGGTTGAGATAGAAAGTGAGGAGTGTAGGAAGTAGCTGGTAACATTTTAGACTGAAGATGTGCTTGGGAAACCTGACTGCCTTCTTTACAGGAGGGATTATGTATCTTGTTTTATTTAGAATTTTCATGTGCATTTTTCCATGATGTGGGTAAAGACTCTTGTGCATACAAGATATTTAGAAAGTGACTACTATTTCTAGTTGCACCTTCTTCAGTATAAAAATACTGAATATTGACACGTTATTCGAAAACTTTTACTATTGGAAGCAGTCCGTAGGTGGTACTCTGTGAAATGTGATGGTTGAAATCATCCCCCTTGCACAAGTTTTTGTGGGGCTTGGTAGTAACAAGTCAAGGGAGAAATCTGCACAACATTTGGAAGAACTTTGAAGGTCTGTCACAGAAAAACAATGCTCAAAATATTTTAAACTGACGTTCTCTACAGTAGCAGGATGTTTTAAAGTGCTCAGGCTAGAGTGCAAGAGGGTTTTGTAATAGAAGCAGTGCTGAAGTTACATATATTTCTTTTTAATTCAATATCTAAACCTCATAATTTTTATTGTTTCATTTGTAGCTACTTTGATGTTGATTTGAAAGTTGAGATACAATTTGACATTTTTTTCTATAATGTATACGCAGCTGAAAGTCTGGAACAAGGAAGTATACAGGTGATACATTCAGTGAAAGATAATCCATTAAAAAAAATACCAAAATTACTTGAGCCATCTGTAAAAAGCAGCAGGAGGAATATAGATATAAGTCCTTTTCTTTTCTGTTTTTCATTGGCCCATTCACTGGGCTGCATAAGCCATAAGCCATAAGCTTGGAAACAAATTTTAGTTAGAGATTTGTGTCCAAGACCACACTCATACTCTCTGTATAGCAGCACTGTTGGAAAGCACCATCAATTCACATTTTTTAGTATTGGTTCATAAGCAGTTATTGGTAGCTAATGCACTAATGGGACAAGCTATAGGTCTGGGGAGCTTTGCACTTTTGGTGAATCCAGGGAATATGGCCTTTGAAGGGTTCTCCACAGATGTAGAGATGTACCATAAAGATTAAAGAGCCTAACAGAAAGCATGGTCTGTGGAGAATTAAGGTCCATTGGGGAAAAAACAACGTGCATCCAACAGAAATAGGTAATTATTCTGTTTCACCTCTGTGGTGGAAATATCTCCTGCCTGTAGTAGAGCACCAGGTGCTCTCACATTCCATCAAAGATTCAAACAGTGTCTTGAAATTTGGGGGTTTTGGGGTGTGTTTTTCGGTTTTGGTTTGCATTTTTTTTTCTTTTTTTTTCATTTTAGATGGGCAGTCATATAGGAATATCTCTATGATATTCATAAGACTTGTTAGAGTTATTTTTGTAGCAATACTAATGTGAAGATATCAGTTCTGATCAACATTTGGACACTGGAGTTTTCCTAAAAATCCATGCCTGAATACTTGAAGCAGTAGAAATTTACCCTACCCTAAAAAAAATACTAAGTTTATTTTCAAGTCAAAGATAATTCTTTATGGAAAGATAAAAGGAATTCAAACAAGCTATTTATTTAGTTACAGGGCAGTAAAAGCTGTCATGATTCAAATTTTGATGCAAATGTCTAATGGTTCACTGCATCAACATAATTATAAATGGCTTGATCTCAGCATTTAGACATTGTATACAGACTTAGAAACATCCTTACATCGTTATGTGTTGTTTTACCTTAAAAAATATAGATATGTGGTTTGTCTTTACCGACAGCCTCCATAAGGGATATGATTAGAGATCACTGTGTAGGAACCTTCATGGATTCCTGTGCCAGATTGATCACATACAAAAATTAAGCATGTTAGATTTATGCACAGAAAAAAAAATACATCTGAGAATGTAGTAAGTATTCTTACAGTGAAGATTTATGAATGGGGATTGACTTTCATGTGACTATTCCCTTTTTCTGAAGCCTAGGTAATGATTAATGTTGCCTTTGTCAATTTGAGACTTGGCAGGATAGAGTCGTGTGTTTGCACGTTCATGAATTAAGAGGTGGTGTTACTCCTCTTGAGAACATATTGTCCCAAGATTAACCATGTAACTGCCCTCATAACTTACCTTATGTGGCTCTTTCAGGTCATGCTGCAGAAGAGGTAAGAGAAGTATTCAGAACTGAAATGCAGTCTGCTTCAGTTTTTTTTAGTAGAGCACTTAGAGGACTGTGTCAATGTCTTCTGCCAGTTGTGCAGTAGACAGAGGTATATCCATGGGCTCTGAGAGCAGCTCCAGTTTGGGACATTCTGATGAGCAGTTCAGATGCCTTGTGTCACTGTACTGTATCTGATGAGCTTCCTCGATCTTACTGTGTTTGGACAAGATGATCTATCTGAGAGTTCCTGCATGATTACCGGAGAGGTGTGTAAGTTTTTTAAATCAGTTTTCTGGAGGAAGAGTTGTTCCTTACACTCCCTCGAATGAGATTTATATTGAGTATAAATGCAGGATTTCCCTTTCCCTGTTTTTTTTTTCTTCTTTACAAAAAGCTACTCATGAATTTTGGTGAGTTTTTTTTTCCTTTCCATTCTCTTCTGTTTCCCTTTCACCTTCTTCCCCTCCTCACCCCAACAGCAAAAAGAAAAAATTATGGAAGAGGTGCAAGAACGATGGAAAAGAGAATTTGTATAATTCCTTTCCTTTCTTTCCTGAATAATCCCTGTTAAGGACCCTGCAGCATGCACTGTCACAAACTGATATAGATGGTAAGAGCACATGAGTGCAACCTTGCCGTATTCTACTTTCAATTCACAAGTTGCAACCATGGACTTCATGCTTCCATGCAATCTGGTGCTTTGCTATAGGCCGGTGATGAATTCGTTTGGGGGAACCAATCACCATAGTTTAGATGACAGAACTGGACTCCTAAATGTGCTGTGTAAGTGCATTGTCAGTTACTGAAGTTCACTCATCTGAAGTAGAGGATATGTATACCTTCTTTAGTGATTACAGTAAAAAAAACTAATGCATTATTTTTATTCTTTTTCAGTGTCTCTGTTACCTATACCCAAACACATCATGTGCTAATTCTAGAGGAGAGACTTGAGGAATTGAAAGTTCTGCTCTGTTTCTTTCTATTAACAGCAAAATACTTTCTTGTAACCACATAATAAAGGAACAGAGTGAAGTGATTAACAGATATTAAACTATCACGTAATGGACAGGCTGTGCTTTTGTTTCTGATCAGGATGGAAAAGCAGAGGAGCATTTAGTCTGTGTTACTGTAGACCAAGCAATAGGTATAAACTTTAAGATGATGGAAGTATCCTATTTAAATTATAAGAAAGACTGAAATTTCTATTGGTGGAGCTACCCGATATGTTTCAGAAGCACAAAGAGTTAAGATTTTGTGTTTAACTTTTTCATTAATGAGAATGATTAAAAATTACTTGGAAATAAATAAAGTTCTGATGAATTGACACCTATCTCTGCCCTTCATTTGCTGGATAGTGGTTTTTGTAACTGAAGTCTGGTTTACGAGTGAACCATGAAAGGATGCACGCAAAATTAGCTTAGATAGTACTAAGAAAATGGTTTTTAAAATACCATACAAAGGGCAATATTTAACATTTTAGGATTTTTTTTCTCTTCTTGTATTACATTCCTGGAATCTTTCAGGTATGCAGTTTGCACTTAAAACACTATCTAAAAATGAATGTCAGTTCTCTCGCAGAAACAGGTATTAAACAGAAACTTGGTACGTAAAAGCACTGTTGTATCTGTGATTTCCTGCATTGCGTATCTGTTTACTTTCATATTATTTCTCTACATCTAATTACACCTAAAGAACAGTCTTTGCCAAAAAGCTTTTTTTAAAATAACTGAACAGAAAATGCTGGATAAGGACAGTGTTGAATGTAGCCCTTTTAAAGTCTTTTTGTGTTCTTTTTCCTTATATATGTATAATTTACTCTTGGTGCACCTTCAGCTCTACAAGAGTCACCGTGATCAGAAGTACACAGGAGACAATTCTCAGTCAGGTTAGAATACCATCATTTACCTTTATATAACTCTGTGTTTAAGGTCGTGGATAGGTTCTTTGCTGGTATGAAATGCTGTCTCTTCCCTCTGTCAAGTCGGTGGTCAGAGCAGATGGCCAACGACGGATACCAGCTGCTCTGATGTCACACCACAAATTGGATTTGTAACCATCATTAATAACTCTGTCTCCTCTGTGGAGCTCTTGCTGTGTACTGGGAGTTAAGATGCGTTGCAACGCACAACCCTTGCCCTCTCTCTTAGGCTGGTTAGCTTACTTGCAGACAGCACACTCAAGCTCTCAGTAACTTCTGCAGATAGCTTTTGACTAAAGGTGTGGAGTATAAGGGGATAATCTCTTCTTCCTATGCTGCGTAATGTTTGGAGTAACTCTTTTCCCTGAAGAAGGAGGCACTAAAAACCAATTTTAAGCCCGTGATTCTAGTAATCTCAGCCCGATGCAGCACTGCTGCCTTCTGAGTGAACAGGATCTCATGGCACATGTTCTGGCACATGAGCCCTTCCCACTATGAAACACTGGACAACATTGCTGTGCAGTGTCAGGCTGCTTCTGATTTTCATGTGGGAGGAGGATATAACATACCAAGAGCATGGGAAGTGACTGCTTGACATCTACTTTTTCAAGTAGTATAAGAATATGTACAAGCATTGGAGAGCTTTGTGATGCCAAATAATAATGAGCAGGGGGAGAAGAGACAATATGTGTGATTTACTGCTCTCATTACTATTGCTGCCATCAGAACTGATCCACGGTGTGTTAAACTGCTTGCTCCTGTGTCCCTGTAATAAATACGGTTTTTCTTTCTCACTTTCTTTCCTGCAAACAGGAAGGTGAGAACACCCATGAATTAAGCTGAAGAACACTTGTTACTAGTTAACGCGTTGCTACTTGCTTACTAATGTGTTTTACAGGTTATGTGGGGCATTAGGTTTGCTCATTATTGCGACAGATTTCAGCAAGACTGGGAAGCCACATCACATGAAACCATGTTGATGACTGCAGTGCAGTAAAAGCAGGCAACCTTAGAGCCATGTGTATGCGATGTAGGTTATCCTTCCCTGTGGTCCATGGTTGTCCTCCAAAAATAAATTCCCAGAGCCATGGGCATGTACCAGTATGTGATGAGGGTAGAAAAATAACCCATGTGTATCATGCTGTTTGCAATGGTGTGATTTGTAACAAATCTGGATGAGGAGACATTCCACTCACCAAGTGAAGGAAAATTTTTTATTTAAGCATTTGAATATTTTCATCTAAAATTGGACTGTGGCACAGAGTAGCTTTTATGCACCTGTGACTCTCTGGGTGGCAATAGCAAAGTTTACAGCTTGCTAGTTGGTATTTAAAACAAGGAGAGTTCTCTGCTCCTTCCAGTCACAGCTATGTTTATCTGTAAATGTTTGCTCCCACTCAAGTACCTTATGTTAAATTCCTCCAAATGTTAATGCAGGAAATGGGTTTGGAAGAGGAGTCCTATCAAATAAATAAATAAAGTAATTTAGCATGCCCTACTCTCCAGTGTCAGCAGAGGAAAATGCTTTCAGTCTCTCCAGCCTGGACTACAACAAAATAAGACCTCAGCTGTCTTGTAAATCCGTGGTAAAGAAAAGAATTAAGACAGAAACTGTATTTCAGTAATTTTTAGATGGATATATTTTTAATTCTGGAGAATTGTATACTAACATTTTGCTAAAGACAAGCTTCCTATATCCTCTCTTGTAACATGGTTGTGCAAATTGGTCCTTATGTTGAGAACATCAACTTTATGATATTTCTGATTCTTCACATGGTGGTTATCTCATTTTGAAAGCTTATGGAGGTCTCTGATCTTTGAGTGGCATTTCAGATGCTCTTGGCATATGTACTCTAGAGACTCTTGCAGAGGTGAACAGATGCACGGTTGCTGTTTTTAAACATAAGGGAGAGTGCAGACCATAATGGTTTGGAGAAATATGAAATTTTACTGATTTTTTTTTTTCTTTTTGAGGCTCTTTCTAGGCATTTCGTCCAGCTTTTGCATTAGTCTGGAGGTGATAATTTCTCTAGCTTTAGCAAATGGCAGTTTCAAGAATGACAGCCTGGTGCGTGGTTAACTTTCACAGCAACTGAATTGAGTGTTTATAATAATTCTCAGTATGCTGGATTTTTCTTAAACACAGGGTACAACAATTATTGCAATTAAAAGCAAAAGCTGTCTGAGTCTGAACTGTGCTTGCACTGGAAGAGTCTAGACTGAGGCAGGATTTTTCTCACTTGGCTAAATTTCTAAGCAGTTAAACTCGGGCTTGTTCAGTAGTCGGTGGAGAGCAAAAGGGACTTGCAGGAGGGGTTCAACCCACCCGCCTGAGACATCTCTCCTAAAGCAGGGCCTTTGACAACTACCTTGCACAAGGACAGCCTGAAAGACTGCTGATTTTAGGCAGCTAAATTTAGGTGAAGCAAGTCCCATGTTCCATAAGGCGTCTTGACTTCCTTGTGAAACATCTTTGCAGGTGTTGTTGTACAAGTTGCTATAAATTGATAGACACTGAGTCCCTTGTTCTGATATGCAGAAATTACAATATTTCCCCCACTTATGTGGTATTGTTAAAATCATTTAATTAAATGTTCAGAATTTTAGGTGGAGGAGACTCTGTAGAGGTCCTACTTGATGCATTTTTAAATCTTTTGTTTTGTATTCATAGAATCCCATTCTTTCAAATGCAAGAACAGAAGGAAAGACTCAATTGATGTTAAGTCAATAACATCTCAAAGCAGTGATGGTAAGAGAATAAACTGTCAAGAAGGACATTATAAATTAATAACAGACTTGCCCTAGGCAATGACAATGCTGAATGAAAGAGGAACCAGATAGATTCACAGCTGCTTAAACAGTGTCCAGTTTTTTATAAGTGCTGTAGAATCTCTTTATTCTGATTTGCAAAACAGTGCTCCAGCACCACTACAATGCATGCAGCGCCCGATGCCTTCACAGAGAGTAGGAGTGACTGTGCCACGGGATGGGGGCAGCCTGATAAAAGGGTGCCTGTTGAAGTGTTAGTTCCACCTCTCTTAGAAAGCTGATGCTTGTGCTCCCAAAATGAGATTTCATTTTCATTAGTGTGGGACATGAGGGATCTATTGGTGCTGGTTACTTGAGAGCCATGCTTCTGCTCCTGATCCCATTTGTGACTGCTTGCTGGAGCTGGGACAGTCCCAGCAGAGATCTCTCTCTGCCCTAGTCTGTAGTGACAGAAGGACAGCTTATGGGGAGCAGGAACGGGTTTCATTAGAGCAGCTGTGTCACTGAGATGAGGAACATGAACACACATACTCTCACAGGAGGAGCCATGTCTGACAGAGATCCACTGCAAACAAAGGGAGAGAGGTAGGTATTGGGTGTGAAGTACAACGTAGCTTAAATATAGCTTCATTTCAGTATAGCTGAAGTGACGGATGGACAGAAAAACTGACAGCAGATGTGAGGGGTGGCTGCAAAGGAGGTAGATAACAGTGCAAGAAGTGAAACAGTAAAGCAAGAACTTGCAGGAGGGGACATAAAGGAGAAATAGAGGGGGGATACAGGAGAAATAGGAGATGAGGCTGGATTCTGTCATGCTGTTTGCCAGTGACAGCCTTCTGCACTTTTTAAATGATGTAGTCAGATTTACACTTTGTGGCATGTAAACAGTGCTCTCTTTATTGACAGGTCCAAGTTTACAGACCCGACGGTACTCTTCCATGGCAAGGATCCACTCAATGACAATAGAAGCTCCTATCACAAAGGTGAGTCCGCCTTTTCCACAATCTCAGTTTGGAGTTGCTCTCATAGGGAAGTATGTAGTTTGTGGCAGGACAGCCAGGGGTTTCCTGCACCTTGTATTTGACAGAATAATTTAAATCATCTTCTTTTTCTTACCACTTCCTCATTCCAAATCCTGGTCATAAGGAATATTAAAAACAGGAAAAGAGTGTCCTTGCTAGTTGCACTGCTTGTGGTAGGAAGGGGACCCTGCTCTGTTGGGCTGTGCCTGTGTCAGAGGACATGTGCTTCCAGTCTCACCTTTGCTTTTACCATTGATATTTATACGATAGCATGCAGAAGAGGAAGCACCTGCACCATATTCTGTCCCCCGACTTTCCTGCAGTCTTTTCTTCACTATCTGTGTTATACAAACTCTGCTGTCACAAGCCAGCTGCACAATCACTTGTCCTGCAAACTGGCATGACTGTCATCTCCCACCCTCAGACCATTTTTCCCTTTCTTCCCATCGTATGTTCCTATCACCAAGGTCTTTACTTCCCAGCACCACTGTGCCTGTGGAAGAAGCTGGCTCCTTCCCTTTTCCTTCTCCCCAAGCATAACCACAGGGAGCCCTGTAGTGCCCCTGCAGCAGCTTCTGGTTGCTGGAGAAGTCAGCACTGGGGCTTTCTCCAGAGGAGACTAGACTCAGAGGAGTCCTAGCAGTGTCAGGAGCGGTCCGTGGTGCTGCTGTGTCATTACTGCATTCCCAGATTGCAGCTGAGACACAAGGTGGGAGGCAAAGAAGAGCCATCCTCTTCCCCACAGCCCAGCTGTTCCTGCTCTCTGCCCTTTTTTCACATTGAGAAAACTTAAGGCTTTACAGCCAATATCAGGGTATCTGACTCACATCTAGGAGTCTGTTTTGCCTTTTCCTCTAGGGACTGAATGATTGCTTCTGAGCAGCCCTGGCTGTGCTGAAGGACTGGGGCATGGCTAGTTTTTGGTCTGGCCACCTGCAACTATTTCAGATATTTCAAACCCTTTTGCTTTCACTTCCCAGGAGTTTGCCAGTTACAAATAGCAGACAGGTACCAGGGAATTTGAGCACAAACCTGCATTTTCAGAGTTGTACTTGAAGGGCTGAGGGAATTACCTATCATTTGCTAAATGGGAAGTAGCTTAATCGAGCCAAGAATAAAGATTTTGTAACAAGAAAAGACAAAAGTGCCATTCACTCTTCCTCACGTGCCTCCTTAATCTGCTTTCAGGTTATTAACATTATCAATGCTGCCCAGGAAAACAGTCCCATCACAGTAGCAGAGGCCTTGGACAGAGTTCTGGAAATCCTGCGGACAACAGAACTTTACTCCCCTCAGCTAGGTACCAAAGATGAAGATCCTCACACAAGTGATCTTGTTGGAGGTCTGATGACTGTGAGTGAAATTAGTGAAGTTGAAATTACTGCTACCAGTATCCTACATCACAGTTCAGTGCTCTGCTGTGCTAAAATTTCACAGGCAGTGGGAAGGGGACTTGGAATTCATCACCATTTCACGTAACTATTTTGGCCTCTCTCCTAACAGGCACCAAATGTAGTAAGATACGGCCACGTCTCAGTCCATTGGGTGCATTCATCCTTATACATAAGTGAACGTGGTTGCCACTAGAAGTTCTGTCATCCAATCTGATTTGTCTCAAGAAGATACTTTTTAGAAATCCTAGAAGCTTAAACAGGATTAGAGAGATTGCTCTACAGCTGGTCCTGACTTTGGTCCTGTAACAGCACTGTCTGCCAACCACAGACCACCTAGATTTCATAATGGTTTACCTAAATTTTTTAACATCCGCTGAGCTAATCCATGTCAAAATAATATAAGGAAAATGAAAAATAAATCATAGTGGTTAATTTGAAGGATTAAATCCTGCAGGTGCCAACGAAGGGGTCAAGGAGGGCAATCCACTGTAGTTAATAATACCCCTTCTGGAGATCTCATACTAATGTTCCTTGGATCCTTTCATGTCTGTTTTGAAAGACCTTAAAACAAGGATGGTGCTTATAGTGCTACAATAGGAGCAATGCTTTTAGTACCCAGGAGTAGAATCATAGAATTATTAAGGTTGGAA